CACTGTTTTTTTCCAGCCAGAAGTAACGGGGACTTTTCTTCTTGGCACTGGAATCATGAGTGGGGTGCCTGGTGTGGATGGAGACCCCTCAGACCTCAGGAAGGACCTTTCCTGCTGAGGTATCCTTCTGATTTTTATCTGCCACACGTGGGTGTGGGACCAGCCCCTCTGCCTCTGCCCCTCCTACAAGTCTCCATGTGGCTGATTCTTTAATTCCGTAGTTGTAGGACTTTCATTCAGCTTGATTTCAGGGAGTTTTGAATGATGGTTGTTCTGTAGTTTAGTTGTAACTTTGATGTGGTTGTGGGAGGATGCGATACCGCGTTTACTTACGCCGCATGTCAAAGGCATATGTGCTCAGTTCATGGGGGGGAACATCTGTGCTGTGGTTTTGCCTCTTTTGTCCTCTTGTGGAAATTTTACACTGATGGGAAACTGTTTAAATAGCTTTTAGAAATTGACTTATATTTAGCATCAGATACAGATTCAAGATTAATAACAGACAGGTATTTTCTGCTTCCTTGAGATGCCTTTCAAGACTGAAAAATATGGCCCTGTTTTATCTGTCTTTAGAGTCACCAGGGAATCTAAACAAGTCACTGTTAGAAGTCATTGGTTGGCTTCCTGACACATTAGGCTCTTTTTCCTGAACCAAGTACCAGCCTTTGGTACTATTTGCAATTTTCAGGTAGGTCATTAATAAAAGCGTGAAGCAAGAATGACTACAAAATAAGTCTTTGACATTATTCACACATGCTGAGGTCCCTGAGTGAGTGATTTATGCTTGAATGTAGAGAAATTATAAAGCAGCCAGCCCAGGTAAATGAAGGGCAAGCTGGATAGTCAGCCCAAAATGTATTTGACTCTCCAAATTGGTAAGGCAGCCCATTGCTGTAGAAATGTTATTTCAACAGGGTCACAGGGGAGAGATGTAATTGAACATATAGGCATGAGGAATAATTTTGCAATTAAAAAAAATATTTTTACCAGTTTTCAAAGCAAATTCCCCAAACCAGAGCTAACTAACTATAGTAGTGAAAGAAAGTACCTAATTAAAAAAAGTAAATAGATTTTTCTCTTCCCTTAGGTAAGCAATGGTTGTTTAAAATGTTTTCCCAACATACACAAGTACATAATAGTTTTGTGATTTCTTAAATCAACAAGTTTTTGAAATGCTCCTGGTTCTGGCTAGAGCGCATGGGTAAGAGGGTGGGCAGGTGGTTCAGGCGTGGAGGGTCCAAAGTCTTTGGGAATTAGCTTGTGGGTCCTCAAACTCATCCAAATAACATCAGTTGGTCTACAGGGCTCAACGCTATAGGGAGCTTACTAGCTGAGCACTAAGGTAGCTCCCCTCTCTCTCCAGTTGGAAAGGACAACATTGTTGTGCTTACAGAGAGCATTTTCCACATTGAAAGCACAGCCAGTTTATCACAATCTTATCTATATCCTTTCCTTTAATGCTCAAGACTTCTAACAATGTTTGGGTGCATGTTTGGTATGTTCAGAGTAATCAAGTCTTACAAATACATGATGTCTTAAGAAATCTTATCTACATTCCCAACTCAGAACAGTTATCCTGGACAGATAAGAGGGATGTTACTCTTTTTTCCATTTCATCATGGTAATTTATATTGAACAAGGAACTACAAGGTTCAGTTTACATTGTATTTTATCTTTTTACCCGTGACCTCAATCATTTTTATGGAGCTATTAAACAGGCCCAGAACGGGTTGTGTCATTTGGTACAGGCTGCTGCCTTCAGGCAAATGACATTTGGTTCCTCTGTGTAAGTGAAATTTTACTCACCTCATACTGAAGAGACACATTTGAACACATTGCACTATGACCTCAATTCAGCTGGACCACGGGTCAAGCTGTTATATATACTTTATTATTAAAAAAATTTTTTTTCTTTATTGATTCTAGAGAGAGAGGAAGGGAGAAAGAGATAGAAACATCAATGAGAGAGAACACTGACTGGCCGCCTCCTGCATGCCCCCCACTGGGGATTTGGCCCTGACCAGGAATTGAACCGACCACCTCTTGGTGTGTGGGTCAATGCTCAACTACTGAGGCACACCGGCCGGGCTATACTTTAAATAAAAGACTAAAAAAATACATAGTTATCCTTAATGTAAGTACAAATGTTGTCTTTGTTTTAATAGGGATTCATTATATATTTATCCATGAAAATTTCTTCCAAAGAGATTAATTTACTAGAGGTAAAATATCCAAATGAAGAAAAGGCCTGAAGAGTTAACTAAACTGAAACTATGCCTAAACCATCTTATACTAAATTTGTAAGGTCGCCACTGACAGGTCCAAACTTGTCTAAAATTACAGATAATATCATTTTTAGAACCACATGTTACATGTACACCTGCAAGGATCTGAGACAGGAAGTGAAAGATTAAAGGACTAAGATGTGCTGATGTACCCACAGTTGAAAACAGCTATCAAAAGGCAACAGTCATCTGGGGAAAAAAAAAAAACCTTGCTTTTCAGCATAGGGACCAGAAATGCATTGGCATTGCCTCTGGAACTGGAACAAAACCAAATTTTAATTGGTTTTAAAATCTGGAATGGAACATTCCTGCAGTCATCCATGAACCAACCTTCTCCTGTAGAAGCTGAGTGAGTCTTGGCCAGCCATCTGCTTTGTGAATTGTTTTGTCTGGGCCCCTTATAGGACAGAAAGTACTTGTTGTGCAGTGGTTGGTTTCACATCAAGTTACAGTCCTCCGTGATTTTGCTTGAGCAGAGAATTCAAAAAGAGAAAAAAAGTCTCCAGGAAGAAATGTCAAATGCCTTCACTAATGGAGCTTGGGGCTGGATGGGCCTGCATGGTTGGGGGTTACCACTTACTTTTCTCCATACCTGAGCAGTGGTTTCCAAAAAGGAGAAAAGCCTATTCTTTCAGAAGAGAGGCAGCTGGACAAATACAATTCTTTAGCAGAGGCCAAATGAGGCATTTTAAGATTGAGTTAATTTAGAATTTCACTATTGTCAGTCCAGAACTTTGCACACAGCCAAATTTCTATAAAGGTTGATTGAATAAATAGTGACTCTTTTGAAATGTGTACACTACGAAATTACCTCAGTGGCAGAGAGTGTGTGGGGAGCCCACCCATTCCTCCATTCCCAGGACAGTGCTTTTCCTTCACAACAGGGTAGAATAAAAGCTTCTTCTCAATAGTGCCTGTGATGGGGAGATACATTCTCGAAGCCTCCTTACAGCCACTCCCCCCCTGCCACAGGGAACAGGGGTACAGGAGGGGCCTAAGAAGATCACCGAACAATTTCTAACTTCTAAAACAAAATGAAAAGCCTGTTGTGGATGAAGAGGATAGTCTAAACTACTTTGCAGATGAAAACTCCACTTTCTGAGATTGGAAATAGTTGAAATAAGTAAGTAAGCCTTCCCCAAAACTTTCAGTAGTTGGATTTGATGGCTGTCAAAGACGTGAGAAGGCAAAAAGAGCAAGAGAACCAAATTTAGCTGTTAAACAACAGCAACAACCACCACAACAATAACAGTAATAGCCTTTATATATAGGATTTTTTTTTTTTTTTCAAAAAGAAGAACATTCTATTTTTTAAAAAGGGGGAACACAAGGCTATTCTTCTAAAATGTCAATGTCACAAGGTATAGAAAGTCTGAGGAACTGCTCTAGATTAAAGGAGACTAAAGAGACATGAGAACTAAATGCAATATGTGATCTTAGCCCGGATCATGTACTGAAGAGGAAAAAATGCTGTAACGGACATTATTGGGTCAGTTGACAAAACTGGAATACAACCAGCAGATTAGATAAAGTGTTGTATCAATGTTCAATTTACTGAGGATTATATAAAAGAATATCCTTAGTGTTAGAAAGTATATACGGCAATATTTAGGGATAAAAGACTGTGATGTAGGCATCTTACTCTTTTTTTTTTTAAATTAATTTTTAATTGAGATATAAGGTACTAGAGTTTTTGATTTTATAATATCATTTTAAATATATTCTGGAAGATCCCAGATCTTAACTCCAGAATGCTATAGGGCATCTCCATTAAGAAGTATAATTGGCCCTGGCCGATTTGGCTCAGCGGTTGGAGCATCAGCCTGTGGTCCAGAGAGACCCGGGTTCGGTTCCCGCTGAGGGCATGTACCTTGGTTGCAGTTTGTCCCCGACCCTGGTTGGATGGTGCGGGTGGCAACCACTTGATGTGTCCCTTTCATGTAGATGTTTCTCTCTCTCTCTTCCTCTCTCTCCCTCCCACTCTGTCTGAACAAAAAATGAAAAAATGTCCTTGGGTGAGGATTAAAAAAAGAAGTATAATTGGAGCTGGTACCTAGGTGAATGGAATCCCTCGGAAACCACAGCTTCCAGGGAGGTGCAGAGATGTAATTCTTACTTAGGGACTGCAGGGTGGGGGACTCATATTTCAGAGTGTAAAACACTTGATCCAGAGTGAAGTTACCAACACATAAAGGAAAACAAAATTGTAATCAATCTTGGGGAAACTAACCGACATGCATTACCGGGTCTAATACACTTCTGTTCATTCCAGTTAATCAGAAGTATAAAAGGGATATTACCCATATTGTAGGGAGAAGAAAGGTTTTCATACTTGCTGAAATTAATATTTCCCTAATTCAGGGCCACACTGAGAACCATATCGTTCAGTGTAACTTAATTGATACAAGTGGGTGTTCTAGAGCCAGATCTCCTGGCTCAAATCCTAGATCCATCACTTACTACCTAGATGACTTTAGTAACTTATGTCACTTCTTCTTTGCCTCAGTTTCTTCATCTGTAAAATGGGGATAATAAAAAGACCTCCCACACAGTATTGTGGTGAGGATTAAATGAGTCAACACCCTTTAAAACACGAGAATGCCTGACATGATGAATACTCCACGAATGTTAGCTTTTAATATTAATTAAATGCTGCAATACAGAAGAGAGAAGAAAAGGATGCAGAAATCCAGGTATCTGGACTTCGATATTTACCTATAACACAGAAGGGCTTTCGGGCAAACCTCAGTCTTCCTTGCCATCCTCTGTACCGACAACAGCAGCCTGCAGACCAGATTCGAATGATGAACTCCAAACCAAAGACGACAATCATCACGAACTCCTAAAATATCAAGTAAGACGTGTTAGAGGCTCTGTGGGTATATCTGGACATGTAGGCACTTCATCCAAAACTTCCATTTGTTAAATTTATACAATTTAAGGACATCTCTTCTCCAAATCAAACTAAATCTGGAGAATGTTGAGGCCTTGTATTGTCTGCATGTGCTATCATGGAATGTCAATCCTTTTTTGAGTCTCTGACACTTTGCAAATTTAAGAGTCAGTTTCAATACTAAATTTGCAGGCCGGAGTACCAATCTGCCTTGTCTAGAATCCCACGCAGTGTAGCCGACTTCAGCTACCTGGGAACATGTGAAGTATCTGAAATGAAAGAGAGGAGCCTGAAAACACAACTTGACAGTTTTGCAGAAAACAGAGCTTCACTTGGCTGCAAGGAGTGACAACCTGTAAGCCCTTAGGAGTGTTCGCAGAGAAAAAGAACTGAATATTTAAAAGTACAAACAGGTTGTTACAGAATAGTCTTGGGGTAGAGGGGTCAGTGGGGGAAAAAGGAGGGTATCTGTAATACTTTCAACAAAGATAAATAATAAAAAAAAGATAAAGTAAATCAAAGGGTAGTAGAACTAAGTATCTACTGCTAATTTGTTTTGTTCCATTATATTGTTGGCACTACTAAAATGTTGAACACACTGAAGCATTTTTGGAAAAGAAAATATAACATAACCAATTTAAAAATATTTTAATTATGTGTCATTCTGACAATGAGGGAAAAGCATTGTTTTGTGGAAAAAACAAACAAACCCCAAAACACAACAACAAATGAATGTATCATTTAATAAAGATTCACCTGGGCAATTAAAAAATATGCTGAGTTCTTTTATTATGGTACCCAAATCTCCTTATAAAACAGCAAATTTCAGAAACATTACTGTGTGTATAGCATATGTATGCTTTGCCAGAAATGAGACCCAGAGTTCTTCGATCTGAAGGTTGTTAATTATATGCTCTCCTTTGGTGAGAGCTGCTTAGAAAATAACACCTGCTCCAGCAAAATGACTTTGAGATTATTTAGGAAGAGTTGTGAGTGAACCTTGGGGAAAGGCCAAGTAAATTGGCTCATTAAGCAGTGGGTCATAGAATGAGAAACTGAATGGAATTTTTAAGAAGAAATTATCTCTAGAGCAAGCTTATCACAGTCCCCTTGTTGTTTCTGTAGGGACCGGCACTGAGTTTATTGAAATTTAAAATATAATTCCCTGTCTTATTTTTAAACAAGGGTTGGCCCAGCATTTATAATGTAGAACAACGATTTTCAACCTTTTTTTATCTCATGGCACATAGAAACTAATTACTAAAATTCGGTGGCATACCAAAAATATATTATATTTTCTGCTGATTTGACCAGAAAAATAGGTATAATTCTGATTCATTCACACTGGATGGCTATTGTATTGGCTGTTGTTATTTATAATTTGACAATCTAAGGGAAAAGAGGTCAGTGCCCCTGACTAAACAGTTAGGTATTGCATGTTTTAAAAATCCTTGCAGCACACCAGTGTGCTGTGGAATAGCACTTGAAAATTGCTGATGTAGAACAATATATATATTTCAAATTTTTATTGAATTTATTACTTATAAATTGATTTTCATTAAAATTGCTTAGTTATAAAAGTAATACATGGTCCTTATAAAAACATCAATACATCACAGAAATATAAAGCATCGAAAGTCAAGGGTCTAATCCCCTCCCCATTCTCCCACCCATGTATCAAGGAAAAAACCGTTATCAAATTTAGAAAAATGGCATTTGTGTCGCAAATTTCAGGCAAATGTCTGTTTCTTCAGTTAGAGCAAGTGATGATACGTTGCACTTTTGAAATGCCTAGTAGAGATACATCATTCCATCCGTCTGTTATTTTGCACTAAGTAACCCACAAATATTTCTTATAATGGGAAATGAATCTCCAGTATTGCGGCTGTTTATTTATAGTGACTTAAAACCACCTATAGGATAAATCTCCGAAGTTGACTTTACACACACATGACCAAAACTATGCAACAAGAGGATTTTGTTTTTTGTTTTTTTTGGGCTTTGTAATATATCTAGGTAATGGGTCTGGTCACTTATTAAGGGGGCTACAGTACCAGATGCATGTTTTTAATCCCGCACATTTTCCCACACATACAAAACATGTCAAGGCCTAAGATGTCTGTGGAGCTGTCCAGGTCTAACGGCAGGTCTGCTTTTCTACTTCTGTCCTTTACTCCTACTTGTGCCAGAAAGTTTGGCGCTCCACTGGTGACAGGTCATATTATCAGGGATACCCAAAAAGATCCCAAATGTGGCCTGAGCACCCAGGCATTACCATATCATGATTTTCTTTTCCATGAGAATAGCTGACATTATTCTACAATAATAAATATATAACTATTATTCTAAGTACAGGAGACCATCATTGCACCATTTTTATGTTGCACTGAGGTAGGATACATTAAATCTACAAATTCTATACTCAGGACTCCTTGTTCAGGAATATTGCCTACTGCTTTTCTTTTAAAGGTTTTGGGGAAAATAATCTTTCATTTCCAAATAAAGTAAGAGGAAGTTATAACTGGATTTCATCACAGGATCATGACTTCTGCCTTGGGGAAAGTAATGCGAGAGTCATAATTCTCTTGTCCTTGCTAGACCATTACTTAGTATTCCCTATGAGGGCTTGGTTTCAGACCTTGGAAGAGTAACCTAAAAAATCTCCAGTCACTGAGTAAGCAGTAGTGAGAGGTGAGAGCTCAGCAGATGCTGGGAGAATTGAGCAGCAATAGGAAAAGAAAAAGAACTTCAATCTATACCTCACACCTTATACAAAATTCAATTCAATTATATCATGGTCTTAAATGTTAAACTATTTAACTTTTAGTAAAAATCATAGCATAAAATTTTGGGGGTTTGGGCTAAACAAAAGTTGTTAAATTTGACAGCAAAAGCACAAGTAATAAAAGGAAAAATTGAAAACTTGGGCTTTATCAAAAGTAGAGAGAATGCAAAGATACATTATAGTCTAGGGGAAAACATTTACAAACCACATATATGACAAAGGACTAGTATCTAGAATATATAAAAACTCTCAAGATTTAGGAGTAAAAAAAAAACCAAACAAATTCAACTGGAAAATGGGAAAAAATATGAAGGACTCTTCACCAAAGGACAGCAAATCAGCACAGGGGAAGATATTCAACAAAATACAAATTCAAATCACAATGAAATGACACTGCACACGCATCAGAATGGCTAAAAAATAGTGACAATATAAAATGCTGGGGAGAATGCAGGAAAACTGGATCATTAACTCATTGCTGGTGGGAATGTAAAATGGTACCACTCACCTGAAAAACAGTTTTATAGTTTCTTACAAATATGCAGGTACTATATGACTCATCAATTTTTATTCTCGGACATTCATGGCAGAGGAATGAAAACATATTGTTTATACAAAAACCTGTACACAACTGTTCATAGGGGATTTATTCATAATGACCCCAAACTGAAAGCAGCAGTCTAGATGTCCTCACCATGTGAATGGGTTAAACAAGCTGTGGTATATCCATAGCATGGTTTACTACTCAACGATAAAGTGGAATCAATTGTTGATCCACAAGACAATTTGAATGAATCTCTAGAGAATTATGCTGAGTGAAAAAAAAAAAACAGTCTCAAAGGTTACTTATGATATTATTCCATTTATGTAACATTTTTGAAATAAAACATTTTTTTAGAAATGCAGAACAGATAAATGATTGCTAGAAGTTGGGATTTGGGGGAGAGTGATGGGTGGGTGAAAAGGAGGAGGTGGTGTGGTTATTAAAGGGCAACTTGAGAGATTCTTGTGGTGATTGAACTATTTGGTAATCTTGATTTTTGTGATAGATACATGAGCCTCCACATATAATAAAATTGCACAGAACTAAAACCACATACACAAATGTATATGACCAAAACTGGAGAAATCTAAAACAGACTTGTGGATTGTAGCAATATTATTATTCTGGTTGTGATATTATACTACAGATTTTCAAAGTGTTACTATTTGAAGAAACAGGGTAAAGTGTACATAGGATACCTCATGTTATTTCTTACTACAGCATGTGGATCTATAATTATCTCAAAAATTTGTCAGTTAAAAAAGGCACTGCCCATCATCTAACCAATGGGGTTGACTCAGAAGAGGGAATGTGTTCCTCTTTAAGTCCAGATGCTAGATCTGACCTCACTGTGCTTTGGTTTAATGGTGCTCCCTAAATTATCCTTTGGAGAAAGTCTCCTTATTTTATTTTCAGATGAGATAGACATACAACAGTCTTTTATGTTCAGTTGAAAATGATTTATGGATTGTTCTTCTGATTCTTGCTGGGCCAACAATGAGACAGGTTCTGGTGCCTTTGCTGCTTTACCTCAGGATAAACCAATCAATTTTCTCTTGCTTGTTTTTAATTGAAATAAGATGCCTGCTATTTACTCAAATGGTTACTAACGAGATAAGTGACTAACAATCAGAGCACTTGATCTACTTGGAGGAAAGCTGTAATGCAAAGCTGGTGTTACTAACAACGGTTCTGTCCTTCCTTGTGGGAGCCCCCTAGATGCTTGACTTTGTCAGCCCTCTGTGACCTAAATCAATGTTTATTATTTTTATCACCTGTCTTAAAGGAAATTTAGTATTCCCTCATTTGTCTTCACAGAAATTTGGTAAAACAAAGAGCATCTTTCCTATTCCCGCAAAGACTAAGGAAATGCATATAGAAATTTCAAAACCCAAGAGACAAGGGTAGAGCCAGTCTCTCTAGAATATCTACTGAGAACACGAACGTAGCATTAACCCTCTTCTTAGATATTAAGGAGGGATCTTCATATATCATACCACAGAACTGTAAGGCTATTTCATTGATATATAAGACTTTGCTGTATAATTTGAGGTTTAAATTTTATTCTTGCAGTTATTTTGTTCTTGAGTTACTCAAAGTGGTTTTTAAGTAAAGATTGAT